AAAGAACTTTATAATAACTAAATTAGTAGAAATTACAATTCATATTATGAATTGTAATTTTTAGTAATTTAGTCATAATAAATTAAGGGCTTATTTGTAACATACATGTTTTTTATAAATATTTTTTACAAGCCCTGTTTATTAAGGCAAACCATAATTTTTGTTGATAAATCTCACACATAAATAAATATGACTATTGATCATGTGCAAAAGCATACCTACCTTGTTTGGAAAAACATAAATCCATAAGGCTTGAATAAAGCGCACGAATGCATAAAAGGGCTAAAATGATAAAACCATACCCTTTCAACTGTCGCTATACTTTTAAAATATTCCCAGGGATTTTAGATCCATTTACGTCAATCAAAATTGAGGGAAACCATTTTAAATCTGCTTTTCTTTTCTTTTATTGTGTTATAACACCAGATATTTGTTTTGTATTAAACCTAATTAAATAAAGGTAATCCTAAATAAATATTTACAAAATTTAAATAGCTTGGTTGGGACTAGAAAAAATTGATACAGTAATACATGTGTGTTTTGGGATTTTTTATATTAGCTCTAGATTTCAAGATATTTTATTTCTAATTTTAGTTCATTTCTATTTTTAAAATATATAAAAAATGTAGGTATATTTAGAAGAATAGACTTGGAAATAACTTTTTTATACGCCAAAACCAATATACAAGGTGTCCCTAAACTTTTGGCATAAATTTAGAAAAAGATTGAGCAACTTAAAATAAGACGAAAACCAAAATAAATATTTTTCCTAATCACTTATGTTTATGTCAAGATACAGGACCTGTACACCTGGTGTACTTATAATATCAGTTTTTTAATATAACTTTTGCTATGGTAGACTTGGAAAGGTGATATTTTGAGAACATTCACTCACTACCAATACACATATTCAGACATAATTACAATTGTTTCAGTGAACAGTATCGTAGGTTTGCTTTAAGCTTATTGTCCCATACAAACTTTAAGGTTAGGTTTTAATAAACATTTTATACAATTTTTGATTACTCAGTTCGGCTACTATTAAAAAGGTATACCTCTCAAACTTCAAAAAAATAAACTCTTTCCGAGAAATTCGTTAGTACAATAATTGAATCGGTGAGATTAAGAAAAATTAGTTTTATACTTCTAAATTCATTTTTGTGGGAATATTTTAACTATTTTATTAAATATAATGTTCCTATTCTGTAAAATCTTCTCACAAAAATGTATTTTGAACTTTAAGATTGATTTTAAAAACTGAATTTTTGGACTTGTACTGTTCTTATTCTCACCGATTTCATTGTTTTAAAGGATTAAAGATTAAAAGGTACAAATTTTGATAGTGACGTTTGGGACGAAAATTTCCGAGGCTCATGGAATGCCTTTTTTATTTTTTTTATTAAAAAAATAAAAATTGTTATCATATACCTTTTAATCCTTTAATGCGATATAACAATTATTGTAATCTTGAACTTCTCGAAAACAGTTTATTTTATCGAAATTTAAACCTTTTTATTAGTAGCCGATCTGAGAAATCGAAAATTGCATCAAATGTTATAAAAACCTAACCTCAAAGTTTGTATAGAACAATAAGCTAAGAGCAACCCCCGTTTCTTCGACACTGTGTTCACTCAAATAATTGTAATTTTGTGTGAATATGTGTAATGCTAGTGAGTGGATTTTCTTAAAATATTACCTTTCCAAGTCTACCATAGTAGAAGTTATATTAAAAAAGTACTTTATCACACTGTATCTTGGAAAAATATTTATTTAGGTTTTTGTCTTATTTTGACTTGCTCAATTTTTTCCTAAATTTATGCCACTAAGTTTAGAGACACCTTGTATTTTTTTAATTTTGATAATCTGATAAATTTTGCCCAACAAGTTACTTTACATTAAAAGCCACACTTTAATTTGTTAATGTAACGTGATACATGGTTTTGGCGATTAAAAAATCCATTTCTACGATATTTTTTTTTAAATAACAATGTTTTTTATTAAAAAACAATTAAATTAAAAACATCGTCAATTATATCTCATCAAAGTTTATCGCACAGTGTAATTAATTAAAACGATATTAAAAAAATGTCTTAAAATGTTATAAATTAAATTTATTTGTAAATGAATTGTATAAATTTTAATTTTTATAAAATATAATTTCCTTTATACATAATATGCATTACATATAATTACCTTAAAATACAAGTTTTGATATTACATTTACCTCTACCAATATACAGGGTGGCCCATTGAAAACGAAACAAGAATTTTTGGTTAGTAAGCAGTGATTTAAAAAAAACGTCATCAGTTTTTAGGAAGAGATCTTTTGCAAAGTTGCTTTACCTCTTCGTGCAGTGGTTACAACCCCTAAAATTTAAATAGTCATGATAGGACAAGTGATACCTCATTTAAAAGGTTTTGTTCCATTCAGTAAAAAAAATAGTCAAATTCTACTCATTCGTTTTCAAAATATTTAAAATTGAATTTGCAACAGCACATTTCGTTTCGTATTCAAATAAAAAAGTACAGATAAACATTTTTGATAGAAAAACAATGAACATTGTCTGCCACCAACTGTTATACAAAAGTAAAAATTTTCAAAATTTTAATAATAATAATAATAATAATAATAATCTTTATTAGTGCTAAACCAGTAGGTGTACAACGTCAATACAGATAAATAAACATTAGTAGATATAAATATAAATAAATTATAAATTGAATAGACATATGAAATAAAATTAACCCATAATATAAAAGCTGCCAATAACCTAATTCCAAATCTCACTCAAAAACTCATCTGTACTGTAATCTTAATTCATAAAAGTTTAAATTTTTTCTTTCATTTGAAAGATTATTGAAAAATTTTATTCCATGGTACTCTGGCCCATGTTGAGTTTTCGACAGTCTTGAAAACCTCACAATTAAATCATCTTTGTTTCTTGTATGATGCTGGTAAATAGTTGTGTGTGTTTTATAATTAGATACATGTTTTTTGACATGCAAGATATTTTAAAGAATAAATGCTGATGGGAATGTGAGTGTTCCCAGATCCCTGAAGGCAACCCTGCAATCTTCCCTATATCCAAGTCCGGCTACAATTCTAACCAGTAATGCAAAGATTATACCTAAACTGGTTGCATGACCCCATATTATAAGAGAATATGTCATAATTGAGTGGAAAAGTGCATGGTAACAAGACAACAGAACCTCCCGAGACACAACTGCTTTCAAGTTTCTTATTACGAATATATTTGTTGACAATTTTTTAGAGAGAAACTCGACATGCTTATCCTATTTTAGTTTATCATCTATGAGTACGCCCAAAAACTTTACCGCCTTTTGAGTTGCAATATTATTACTCCTTAAAGTAAACACGATTTTATTAGTTTTATCTTTATTTAAGACTAGGTTATTTGAAAGAAACCATTTCTCGGCATTTGACAGTGTGTCAGACGCACTTATCTCTAAAAGCTCAATATTTTTGCTTGATACAGATATAAAGAGTTGTATCATCCGCAAACAAAGTAAAGGCAACTTTGTCATTACTGTATGGCAGGTCATTTATAAAAATTAAGAAATTAAGAAAATTAAGAAATTAAGAAATTAAGTATTTGGGGAGTTATTTGATGGCATTCATACACGATACTTTATCGAAACTCTTGTAGAGACCCCGGCTCTGTTGCGTAAATTTTACTTTTTAAATGACCCAACATAAAAAGTCTATGCAAGTCAAATCAGGAGATCTGACTGGCCAATCCGCTTTGGACCAGGAGGAAATGGATTGGGTGCAGAGGAGCTCTTCCTCTGCAGCCAATCCATTTTCTCCTGGTCACTCGGTCCAAAAACTCTCTAACACGCAGTGCATAGTGTGGAGGTGCTCCATCTTGTTAAAACATTAAATGGTCTTCCAAGTATTAGTCATCATTTTATAATATTGACTATTATGTGATGCACAATATCTAGTAATTTTAAAAACGTTTCTCCTGTCAGGTTACCATAAAAAAGGGCTCCAACCAGACGATTTCTGAAAATACATGCCCAGAAATTGAGTTTTTAAGTGGTGTAAGTGTGGAGTTTGTGGAAAATTCTTGGATTTGCATAAGACCAGTAACGACAGTTATGATGATTGACAGTTCAGTTAATAAAAAATGAATACTCGTAAGAAAAACATATGTCGAAAAGCAAATTGTTATCATTTGCTATTTTTTTAGTCATAGTTTCGTAAAACTCGTCCTTTTTAATTCATGGACTAAATTAATCTTGTATACAAACGTAAGCGTTCTTCTTTATAAAGACGGAATTAGTAAGATCAAATCTGCTGAGATCCAGCTTCATTCCTAAACGTTTACGTTCAGATACAAAGATCTATTTTTTTATCCCACTGATCCTGTGGAAATTCTTTTCGCTATACTTTAAATGAAACTGAACTAATTGTGTGTACTCAAAAGACTGATGAACGCTTTTTTATAATTCGACTGTTTTTCTATAAGATTTTTCCTTTAATTCCTTATCTGTACTTTTTTATTTGAATAAGAAACAAATTACGCTCTTGCAACTTCAATTTAAAATTTCTCGAAAACGAATAGTTAAAATTTTATTCTTTTTTATAAATACTCGGTGGAACAAGACCTTTTAAATGAGGTATTATTTGCCCTATCGTAACATTTTTAAATCACTGCTAACTACCTTAAAATTCCTTCGTTGGCCACCCTTTAACATGGCTTATTTAAATACGAATTCAATACTATTACCTTTATAAATAACTTTTAAAATTTAAGTTTTTAAACTAAATACTTAAAAATACTTTATCTTCATAAAATATTTATATTTTAAATTAAGCTATACGTGCCCTTTTTAAAATTACCCATTCAAATGTATCACTGCTGCTAACCATTAGGTTTCAAAAGCCCTAAATAATTAAATATGTTCTCCTGCGGGCAATAAAATTTCTGCCGGTTTTATCGTTCGTAAAATGATGTTTGTTTTGTTCGTTTCAGGAAAATCTCCTGCTATCAGTGCTGCCCGAACACGTAGCGGTCGAGATGCGGCAGGACTTGGACCAAGCCGATAGCCAGTTCAAGAAAATTTATATGAACCGTCACGAGAACGTTAGGTGAGTTATATCTCCTAATTAGAGCCAGATTTATGGCCAAAGCTAAAATGTAACAAATATTAAAGCGTCAACGTTTTATATCGTTTTCTTTAATTAAGTTTTTAATAAGAAGGTATAGAGATATAAAATTTGATAAAAGACTTTGTTTGGATTCGTATTTATTTTTAATTTAGGACTAAAAATTAAAAAATGGGTAATTCCGTCTTAAATCGTAATTTTGTGGTCACCGTAATTTTGTGAAACAATGATTTTAATTATATAGTTTTTAATTTTACTTAATAACTCCTTTAAGTGTTTCTTATAAATGCCATTACAAAAAAATTTTTGCTCATTTTTCAAAAAAAATTACGTTCCAACAGTTTTATTATATTTTAAAATTAAATTGTACACACTATTAAAAAAATAGTATTTTTAAACTAAAAATACAAATTAATAATGTAGTATTTTCGTTTTAAAAGAGATTTTAACCTTAACATGATTTATTTTATGTATTTTTTTTTAGCTTTAGTTTAGTCACCCTGTTTTTGCTCCCATAAGTTACTTTCTACATTGCGGTAACATTTTTGGGACTTGGCAACATAGCAGTGAAGCCGGCTCCAGTCAAAGTGTCATATATTTTGTAATTTGTTTATTGGTTATTTTGTTATAACAATTAACATGAAATACTTAACGTGAAATCTGTGGTTATTGTTAAAATCAGAAGAGTATGTTTATTTAGTAGTCACATAAGTTATTACGTAAATCACGCAATTTTAATTATTTTTACAAATTGTTCGTAACATAATCTTAAAATAGGCTTGTTATTTAAATGTATGCAATCCGATTTATATCCCACGTTGCCGGCTTGTTTACAAAATTTAAAAAGCCAAGAAAAGTCACATAAATGACTGTCTCATAAGTTAACGCTAAGTGGAGAAAATACAAATACTTCAAAAAAAGCATTGGACGTAGAAGTGTTCCAAAACAATGGTATTGATATTTCGATAAACAAGTGGGTTGTGGTTAGATATGATAAGAATAGTTACCCAGCGTGACTCATATGTTACAGAGTACAGTTCTTTTGATTTATACATGTAGTTTTTATATTTTTTATTTTAAAATAACAGAAAATAGCATATAAGCTGTAAAATAATCTATTACCTATATTTTAGAGTGTAAAACTAGGATTTTTTTTTAAATAATCTATTTTTGCGTTTTTAGTAACATACGTGACAATCACATAAGTTACTAGTATTCCTTTTTCCTCAAAAAAACACACAAAAAATATGAAAAGGGTACGGCTCGCATTAGTAATTATTTAAGTCGGGTCTAATACTAAGTACATTACTATAAATTATGACTGTTTATAAAAAATAAATTTAAAAATATTTCCTCTTAAAATTGCGATTTAAGACGGAATTACCCAAAGGTAATTTGTATTATATACACAGTATAAAATTTCTGGTAATAAACAACACCAAAAGAGGTCTAAATAGGTTCACACTAGAAATGGTATATCTTACCACATACAATTTGGTAAATTATATCCTTTTTAATTGGTTAATAATCTACACGTACTATTCGTACAAAAAACTCGCAACAGTGTAAAAATTATCAAATATAATATACTCTTAGGGGTAAAATCAACATGCACTATTTCTAAAAGAACTCCATTCAAGAGTAAAAAATGCTTAATTTGGTGTAATTTACTACACAGGTGTTACGTGTAGGTGTTAAAATTGGTGGGGGTTTTAATATTAAACACAGCATGTAATGTAAAATAAAGTATATTTTATATTACTTACAAACTTTTAGATAGGAATACAAATAGGCTTTGGCATAAAATTAAAAAAAAAATGATCTACATTTCTAAGGTGTTAGTATTCTTATACCCATGGGTTCTTGCAAGAACTGTTCATAATTTTTTTTAATTGAATGAAAAGTAGTGATATTTTAAGTTTTTTTTTCAGTTTGTGCAAAACCATATTTAGCTTATATAGGTAGGTATATAAGTTAAATATGATTTTTTACTAGCTCAAAAAACTTAAAATATTACTAAATTTCATATTTCATTTAAAAATAACAGGTAAAAACAATGTTTTATCACAAACATAAATTGCATCCACTGTCACATTGCACCACTTCACCCAACCATGGTCTTAAATTAAAATAGCATGCATAGGTACACTACCATCAACTACACTCGGAATACTAATCGCGCCCTTGCCGTTAGCGAATGGTGATGACTACGTGCCTTTTTTAACACAATTTGTGTAGCTGTAAACATATAATAGTGTCAAATGTACACCGGGACGATTTATGTTAAAAATTAACACTAGATTGACACGGTGCTGTGATAGATGAATATAAATTAACACGGATGAATTTTACCACAATTTAAAATACACTTAATATTTTTGAACAATTTTAGTGTATATATTAACACCAAATGATTTTATCACTCCATTTGGTAACTTTAAACCGAAATATTTTATACTGTGTAGCAGGTATATAGCATATAGAAAGTAATTAGGAAAAAAATCATTGGGACAAAATTTAAAAATCTTTTTTAATGTTATGAATAAAATTTGAATAAAGTAAACAATACAAAATTGTGTAGAAATAAACAAATAATTTATCATACAAGGTATAATACCTTTCTGACAAAACAAACTAAAAATAAATATATAATTATCTAGGCAATCAAATGCCACTTGTTATGTTTCTAACATGAAAGTCTAATTCCAAAAATAAGATATCGATGCAATAGCAAGTTCTTTAAAAAAAATTATAATTTTTTAGGTCTTGACATACTATTTATTTTTTAAGTTTACCGGGTGACCTACTTCGACCAATTTTGTCTGTATACCGGAAATCGAAATTTGAGGAAAAGTTGCTTCGACGCTCATCAAATTCTGTTTCTTGAAGACGGGTCGGATTAAAAACTTTTCGAAAAGAAAATCGGGCAAACAAAAAACAAGAATTGAATGGTAAAATAATGCAGTTTAACGTAGGTACTAAAAGATAATCAACATCAAATTAAAACAAAACGTCGCGACATGTCAAGTCAATTTTTTTAATAAAGAAAAACTTAATGAGTTTAAATTTGTTTCTTTAAGGGCCCGTATATTATACAAATTTTGGTGAAAGGTGAATACACTGGCCCTGAATAAATTGAAATATGTTTTACTCAAAATGCTGATTTAACTTGATCCGTCAATAAAAATGTCAAAATATTTTCTTGTTACACGTAGGTAACTGCCAGGAATTATAAATCTGACAAAAAGTAATTTAATTAAATTTTTTCTATTGTCCCCATTAGCGACGCCCTATACATCTGTATCTTTTATTATAGTACAGGGTGACTCAGAGTAAGCTAGATAAAAGTGTCCTAAGAATGTCAAGTATCTAGCTGGTATCTAGCCTAAATTTCATAAAATTAAAAACTAAAATAACTATAAAATCAACTGCAAAACATAAATACTTATAGGGTAATTATTAATATACACTCTTAAACCAAATCACTCACTTCACAAACTTTTTACGTGGCAAAGAGTGTAAAAATATTCATTATGAGTAAAATTTATTAATTATGAGTGGTTTTTCACTCTTTCCCACGTAAAAAGTTTGTAAAGTGAGTGATTTGGTTTAAGAGTGTAATAATAGCTTTAAGCTATTAGCTTATATTAACGTTTATTTTAAACCAAGAAAATTCAAAATATTGCCAAATCAGCGACCGTTTTATTAACAATAAAATGTGTCAATTGATTTTTTAATAACCCAACAAACAGTCAAGCTAATTGAAAGGGATAACGAAATAAAATGGTAAACAACCGTTTTTCGAAAATCATTTACATATACTTACTCCAAAAAATTACGCCAAATATTCGGGTGTCTAATATCCGGCTATAAGGCTTAAAATCTTGCCCGGTAAAACAACTATCTTTATATCTAGTCTATATAGTTTGTCGCCGATTTCCATCCAAAAGTTTTAAAGGGGTGATTCTACATAAGGAAGGCAGGGACGAAAAAGACATAGAAAAAGCTTTTTGAAAATTGATTTGTCATAGAGATAATAAATTGTATGAGGGATCAAAAATGTATATTTTTTTTTAAATTTTTAAAATCCGCGCATCTGGGGGTTCATTTATTTTTTGAATTCATTAAATAATCGGTTTTTTCATGATTAATACACACTATTTTTTAAAAATTTAATTGACTTAATAAAATTAAAATTTTTATCATTGGGATAATTTTTAAAAATGCATATTTCTCCCACCCCGAGAAAATTATTTTACCGATGATTGCAGATGAAAGGGTATCGGAATCAGACGCATTTTGAAAGCAAGTCGGACACCAACCAGACTAAGAATATTTAGAGTTCATAAAATATTTTTTGAAATATTTGTAACTAAAGATAATGTTACCTCTGAGGAAGACTATACGTTACAACGATTTTTTACAGACAATTCAAAGAAAGTTCTTAATATTTCCCAAAAAATCAAGTTTTCATATCACACATAAAAAAATTTCTTTTCCATCGTTAGAATCCAAAACCAACCAATTTTGGGTAAGAAAGTTGATAAATTGATCTAAATCTATGAAAAGGGCGGAGAAATGGAAGGGGGTGGAACTTGACATACAGGTAAGTTCTGGATTAAAAAAGCAATGATTAAAAATTTATAAACAAATGAATAGGATATATCAAATAATCTGTTTTCCAAACAAAAAACATATATTCATGCTTGTCCACAGAGGCCCAATTAAACATTGAGATATTTTTTTATTCTGGATGTTCCTGAAGCATAAGTTTGAATTCGATATTTTGAAAAATTTAGGGGAACGGCGTGGCCAAAATTTTTATCTATGTACCGTTTCCTGGAAATCGCTTTAGAAAATTTTGGTTCTGCGTTGTGAAGTTGAGTGCCCTTTTTAAAGTGGGCCCATGTTCCGATTAACTTTTTTATAATTTCAGCTGAAGAATCAACCCGTAAAAGGTTTGGATGGAAATAGTTGACACCCTGTATAACTTTCCTAATAACTAGGACTAGACAATCTCTGGTAGACATAGACCATTTAAAAATGCTTTTTATATTGACTTAAACTAGGTGCAATTGTCTTAAGAATGTCAATTTAAGCTAGATATAAATTTGTTAAGAATATCAACTTTGACTAGATGAAATTTTAAGGATACAATACCGTAGCTTAAAGATAACAAAGTATTTTAGAGTGTAACTTAAAATACCTTAAATTAGCTTAGTCTACCAATTAAAATTAAAAATAAAAATACATATTTTTTTTTTAATTTCGCTTGTTCAAATTCATAAATTGTAACTCTAAAATCAAATAAATGGACCGTAAATTCAAAACAAAAGTCAAATAAATTTGGCCCGTTTTTTTCAGTGATACATTTTATCATTTATTTCGCATCGGCATTTCCAGAACACTCGAATGTTGCAAAGTGAATTTTAATAAATTTTTGTTTCAGCATTCTTTACGCTGATATTGTTGGATTCACGGCTATATCATCAACGTATTCCGCTCAGGAGCTGGTGAAAATGTTAAACGAATTGTTCGCTAGATTTGATAAACTCGCAGAGGTAAGAAAATTTTATGGTATTTAATGCAATTTGAAATTTATTAGAAGACTGCCAATTTAATTTTATACCTACTTAGATACATCGTATCTAAAAAGTTACTAGCTTCCTTTTTGTTTGCACAGTGATTTAGATTGCATTTGTGGGTGAACAAAAGTCTTAACACTTCATTAATAAATATTTAAATTTTAGATTATTATACCTAAAAAAGTAAGATTTTTTCAAATGTAATCAGTGTAGTGCACTATATATAGTGCAATATTACTGTATCTTGTACTAAAACTTACACGCTCGCTTAGTTTGGTTTACTTGTACGTTGTTTTTATAGATTTTATGTTTCGTTCTCTATGGTGGGTACATTTTAAAATCTTTTATTGGGGATAAATGGATTCTAGTAAAATGAGATTTTCTTCCCGATAAAAATTACGAACAAACTTTGGTAAACAAACAAAACTAAATTTATTAAAATTGTAACAAAAAAATTATACAAAAATTAAAATAATTTTGACTATGTCTAATAAATAATTCATAAAATCACGAACTTTCCTGTTTTTCTTTTCAATATTCATACAAAAACTAAACTTTCATAATTTAAAGGCAGACTGATTAAAACTTTTTAATTTAAAACTTATTTGTTGTTCTAACTTATGTATTTGGGGTTTTTTTGTTATTTTTAGAAATACCAACAGTTGAGAATAAAAATTTTGGGTGATTGTTATTACTGCATCAGTGGAGCGCCAAAAGAAAAACCGGACCATGCAGTTTTATGTGTCCATATGGGTCTTTCCATGGTTAAAGCAATAAAGTAAGTGTTTTTTTATTTTTATATGGGGCAGTCCACGCCAAATCGGCCAAGAGTAAGACTTCATGTCTCCGATTTGCTTTAAATTCTTATGGTCGATGGAGGAACTAAAGTGATGGATAAATCTAAAATTTTAACCTCTTTTATGCATTTTTGTAGGTTTTATAAAGTAAACAAAAAAAACATGTCACTTCTCTTATTTTTCGATTATTTAAATACCCGAAAGACAAAAAATTTCGAAAAAATCATATATTTTTTGACGTTCTTTAAGATAAAATAAAAATATTTTTTTTTTAAATTTTCAAAAAAAATCCAATTTTTTTTATTACAATTTAAATTCCCAAAAAAACTCCAACTCAAATTTAAAAAAAAACATGATGATAGCCCGAAGTTTTCCGCAAATTTTGACTACTTATTTTTGGGGGGACTCAAAAACTGTAAAAGTTATGAATTTTTTTGTAAAGAAATGCATGTCAAATCGACGCTAGAGATCCAAGTCTACGCGTAGCTACGCCGCGGAGCGCCGCGGCCCGCGGTTCCGATAGACGTGCGCTCGGTCTAACGGAGAAAAAATGGTTTAACGATTCTCTCTTTCTCTCTCGTTCTCTCATACGCACATTAATATTTTCAAACTATATTTTATTCAAACTCCAAATTATTTCTTTTTCTAATTTATTAAAAAATAAACAAAACAATCAAATAAAATATCGTCAATGGTCTAGCAATAACTTCTATGTGCAAATTAAAATTTTTTAACGGACTTAAGAAAAGCTTAACATTGTAAGGTGGGGACCCCTGCCTTATCAATTAATGAAAAAGTTTAATACAAAAAAAATAATAATAAAATAAGGTTTAATTTAATTGGCCAAATAGTTGTTATCGTCAAGTTGTGAAATGTTTAACTAAAAACCTACATAGTAACTACAGTTCTATTTCAAGGTATCATACTTAATTATTGTCAGGAATTGTTTAAATAAAAATTAAATAAAACACAAGCATGTTCATTTTATGGGTTATTTATTTATAAGGTCAGAGGTGCCACTATTTCTCACAATGTACGAAGATCCCTCTATTCTTTTAGAAGTTTTTCTGTTTATTAACATTCGCCTCACGTGTGCAGTCACCAACAGCCAACACCGGGTGTTAAACACCCTAATAATCCAATCTAAAAACCTTTTTTGAGCCTCCTTCCCACCATCATCAAATAATGGACTCGTCCAAAAACAGTAGAAGATTCTTTATGCATGCGCATCGTAGAACTTACAGTTTCTTTAATTCTTTTTAAGAATTAACAGCACTACTTCAAATATTGATTAAGTACCTACTAGGGTGCTTCATTTTAGAGCGACATTTTTTTTCAAAGTCCCACCTGAAAATCTTGTAACCGGTCAGAAAACAAAAATTCTGAGCTATTACAATGCTCTTAATGTTTATTTTAAGCCGTTGCTATTCAATTTTTAAATATTTCCCTTAAAAAACCATTAAAAAACAATGTTTTATTCTTTTCTTCTTCCGCTCGTACAGTAAGAATATTTTTTTCGAATTTCGGTTCAAAAATCTTTATATAGGATGAAATTATCTTCAAAAATGTCTATTTAAGCAAGTCTGTATGTTGAATATGTTCTTCACAAATTGCCGTTCTACTCGAAAATCTTCTAAAATAACAGTAAATCGTGTTATGAGACTAATAGGTCAATTCTGGGTTCTCTCGTAAAATTTCTGTAAATTCGTAAATCTATAGCTTACGATGATCTGTAACTATAATGCTTATAGAATCGTAAAAGTGGCAATTCTGGGATGTTATCTGTAAATGTATAATTTAAAGTAGTATAAACGAACTACTGCAACTTCACGCCTATTTACTTACGATCCAACATAACCTATATTTTTATATGTATTTTTTGGTTTATCCACAGTTGATCGGTTTTCATTTATGTATTAGCATATAATACAAAAAGTAAGACATTTAAACTGGTTGAGGAATAAAATGAGGTAAGATAATTTTACATTTATGAATGAATAAAATTGTTAGTGAGTTGAGTGAAGAAGTCAATTAATTAGGTTAGTGGTAACGCAAAAGCAACAAAGAGGAAAAGATAAAAAAACACCACTCCTCAACAGTTGAACAATATTTGGATGCAATGAATGGAGATTATCTATTGGGCCAACCAAGGCAGAATAAATTTGAACAAGGAGCAGAAAATCAAAAAAAAAACATTTTGAGCTTATTAAAAACTATTTAGAAAATTATATAAAGCTGAAAGAAGAACAATTAGAATTTGAAATGAAAAAAATTTTAAATCCAAATTTTGATATTTGACCTATTAATGTTGTCTAATCAGAATATTTATTTATTTTGTTGTTTATTTCTTTTTTGACCTAGTAGGCTGTGCTTTATTTTTTTAAGAATATTATTTTACTTTATTTTCATATGCAAAATAAAAATATAAAGTTTTTATTAATACAATTATTGTTTTATTTAGTCAAAATTGAAATTATTTCTAATGTAGTTGGCCCAGGCTGCTTGTCCCAATTGATAAATATTACCATTATCATATCCACATTGACATTATTAAAAATATTTATGTTTTTAATCTTTAAAATAGCTTTACATAACCTAACAAAAACAAACTGTAACTAGCAACGATTGGGAAACACCCGATCGTAAATATTTACGATTCTATAAGATTTTCTGTAAGCTACAGGAAGCGCAGAATTGCAAATTGTCTATAAGCTTATAGAAAGTTACAGATTTGCTTATAGATGCTTACAGATGTGCGCAGAATTGACCTATAAACTTTTAATTGTAGATAAAAAACGTAAATGACAATTTTGTAGGGAATTTTGTGCCCTACAACATATTAAAAAAAAACTTACTATAGTAATATATTATAATAACAAAGTTTTAGTTTAATTATGTACTTTTCTATGTATTCTAGGTACATTTTACTAAAAAATTCTTTGACAAATATTGTTCAGTTCACAGTTTTCATTAATATTTAAGCAGTTAAAGACATAAAATAATAATATAAAGATTTTTTAGGAAAAATGTTGAAGAAAATAGTTAAAAATAAAAAAAACTTAAAATGGAATTTTAACACAACCATAAATATATTTTCCACCAGTTTAAATTGTTTATGTAGCTAACTGCGACGTTTCTTGAGTGTCAATAAAAAAACGAACCGTAATTTTAAAGTTTACAATCTCCAATAATTAACAAAAAGAAAAAGATGGTGTAATTAAAGACCTCTGGAAAATAAAGTGACAAGCAAAAATTTAAATTTTAATGGTTAATAAAATTACTTTTACAGTTTAAGTTATGATATTTGGTAAAGTCGTGACTGTGGTATTTTAGACATTTAAAATTCCCTTCCCCCTAAAGGCCTTCAATTTTAGCTTTACATTAAAATAATCCATTTTTTTGTTTAATGCCATTAAGACGTGTACATATCTATATCTATGTAAGATTCAAATGCAATGAATATATATATAACTATAGTTATACGTATAAAATTAAAATAATTAATAACTAAACACATCAATAAAATTGGTATTTTATTTATTCAGAAAACTACAGTTAGTTCTATAAAACCAGGGTTCATGATTTGCATATTTTAATTTGCAATAACTGCAAATTTTAAAATATGTAGACAAATAACTATTTTCTTCTCAGTTAAAATAAAAACCTGTTTTCTTAAAACGAGAGGTAGAAGATTACCTAGAAAAATACCTAATTGACCATATGCAAGGAATGAGGTCGATGTTGCCAATGGTAAAAAAATAAAATTCCCTATTGGGAACATTCAATTATATTACGTTGGCTACATTGAATACATTGAAAATTTGAATTTCCCGCACAAACAAAATTAATTTACATCTTTTTTTTTTAATAATAATAAATAATAATAATTCCCACATTTGAAATTCGCACCTTAATTTATTATACAACATTGGAACTACCTTCTTTATCTCTGGGAACTACTAGAATGTATGTTAGTTTGTGCGGGAAATTCAAAATTTCAGTGTAGCCAACGTAATATAATTGAATGTTCCCAATAGGGAATTTTATTTTTTTACCATTGGCAACAACGACCGCATTCCTTGCATATGGTCAATTAACCGCGCGCCGCGGCGTTGCTACGCGTAGGCTAGGATCTGTAGCGACGATTTGACACGCATTTTTTTTACAAAAAAATTCAAA